CATTAATAAGGTGTGTCTACGTAACCCATATTTTCTGTTGCTCAACCTTCGCAATAAGCCTGAAGCTCGTTGTGCCTTTGCCACGTTATAGTCTATGTGAGGGCTCCAGTTAAGTTTCTCGTTATAAATAATGCCCAAATATTTGATAGACTCTACTTGTGGAATCGGTTCCTGATTATAAAGTACTGAAATTTGAATAGAATCTGCTATAGGGAACACCAGGAGCGCACTTTTACTTATGTTTAGAGACAATGAAATTGAATGCAGCCAAATTTCAAGAGAATACATGTACTTTTGCAATTTTTGATGCAAAGAATAAATGTCACTATCTGCAACGAAAAATGCAATGTCGTCTGCATAAATGTAGACAGTGATATCTCGTTCAATGGGAATTGAGCTCATCAACACATTGAATAACAGCGGAGATAGGACCGCCCCTTGAGGTACTCCACGTTGCTGTTTGAATTTAGATGAGTGACATCCATCCTTTGCACAATAAAATTCTCTCGATTTTAGAAACTCTGCTACCCAATCAACAATATAACGCGGAAAGTCACATTCGTGTAAAGAATTCAATAAAATTGAGTGCTCAACGCTATCATAAGCTTTAGCTATGTCTAGTGTTACTAGTACCGCGTATTGTCGTCTTTTTCGGGCAAGCTGTATTCGGCTCTCTAAGTCGGCATGAGCACACCAAATTGAGCATTCGCTACGAAAACCTATTTGAAATGGTTTCAATATTAGCTTGTCAGCCATCCAAACTTTTATTCTATTATTGAGAACTCTCTCTATAATTTTGATCAGGTGAGATGTTAGAGAGATTGGTCTGATGTTGTCAATGTTAAAACCTGACCCTTGTTTTTTTAATATGGGAATCACTCTAGCTATTTTCCAGTCATATGGTATCCAGGCATTGCTTAAGGAATAGTTTATAAGGTTGAGGACGTCGCCGGGTGATATCTGGAATAAAATTTTAATCATAGGAACTGTTATACCGTCAGGACCAGGAGCCGAAGAGGGTAAGTTTCTAATTACGCTTGACATTTCGGACAATGTCACTTTTTCGTAGTCAGTCTTTATAGAGGACTTTTGCCAGTTGATTGTCAAAGTCGACGAAAATCTGTTAGCTAAACCTCTTCCGATTGCCTCTAACGAATTAGTCATTTCTTCCGTCGATAACCTGTCATAATCAGAGTTAGCTAGAGACGGCAGAATTTTGCGCGATCTCATATATCGGAATAACGCTTTCTTATTTCTAGGTTTGGAAAGAAAGTCGAAATGTTTTTTGTCATAGTCTTCTTTAGCTTTAGCCACGGTGCGCTTAAATGTAGCAGCAATAAACTTGTAATCTGCCCAATTTTTGGGGGACTGATTATGAATTAGCTGCTTCCAAGCCGCTTGTCGTCGTCTATGATCACGAGAGCACTCAGAATTCCACCACTGGCTACAAGGCTTTCTCGTATCAGACTCAATAGAAAATTCTGCTTTTTTGAACGTTCTTTTAATTACCGCACTTAATTTCATGGCTTTATTTTCATCGTTGTCTTCAGTGGGGGTAGTCAAAGCAACTTCTAGGTCATTTTTAAATTTGGAATAATTGATAAAGGTTCGAGCTTGGGAGTAAGATGGAATAATGGGGCAAGAAATTTCAAACAGTACTGGTAAGTGGTCACTGTTGGTGGCGCAGTCTAGAGTAGTCCAAGATACGCTAGAAATACCCGAGCTTATAAAACTCAAATCTAAGGCAGAGCGGGATCGGTCTCGGATAAATGTGGGAGTTCTAGCGTTGAGGCATGATAAATTATGCCGCTGAAGCTCCTCTTCTTCACTACAGTTTGAACAAATGTGTTCAGATTGCGTTACTAATGCAGAAAAAAAAGAAAAGGCTAGGAGTTGTACTGTGGAAGAATAAAACCAATGAGCGAAGCTTCTTATAAATAGGACACAAATGACTATGCACCTGATCTCGCTACTGGCTTTCATGAAAGCGGTAGGGTGGGGATTGGGTAGGGATAATGTCTGCTGCCCTCGATGGCGGGAATGACTGAGCTAGTTAGTGCGTGGCGCGCAAGCCAGCCCAGGCAACGAACCGACCCCTGATTAGAGTGGAACCCCAGAAATGCCACGGAGTTGAAGAGGACAGAGCGAAATGATGGTTTGACGCGTTGATAGGACAGGAAAGAGACAAAGAAAGATGCAGAGGGAGACAGGTTTGAAAGGAATGCGAGTGGTGATGCCGCGGTTAGCTTCGAAGGCGGCGACGGCGGAGTGCGGGCATAAGTAGCTTCACTTCGAAACATCAGCGCTATTAATGCTCTGTCGGATGCGTATAGCAGTGGAATATTGCCAATAAAATCCCATCAACCTTTAACAATGAGCTATGGTGGAGAAAGCTTCAACTTCGAAGCAGCAAGGGCTGTTTGCGGATGCCTAGGATGCTGTCCAAGCTAAAGACATCCGGGATTAAGGACGCCTCTGCAGCGCTACCTTCTAAATAAAGGCACTGATTCTCTCCAGGGCCCTATTTTCTGTTGGGGTCCACTGGACCTAATCAAAGGTCTCCACATTTCTTATCAATAACAATAAGGAGAGTCACGCTTACCACAGCGAATTGCCGAGTCTATCTTCAATGAGTGGTTAGACGGTGTTCGCCGGAGGCAGCATGCACTGGCTGTTATGCGTACGAGTGTCGGGTTGGAGTCGCACCATGGACTTCTGTAGCCATCTTTTTTGGAACGAGAACCTCCATATGCTGAGCCCATTAAAGTCTTGTCAAAACGACAACACGACGTGCTCTAAAGAGGTGACCCATAATGAAGCAGCTTCGTCAATGATGAGTACTTGGTCTATAGGGCTAGTCTGTTCGTAGTACCATATACAGACTGACACTACGGCTGCATACTGCAAAACGACATAAAATGAAGAATGAAAAAGGAAAAATGAAAACGATAAAGGAACACTCGCATTGCGTTTTTTTCCTCTTTTTTCACAGTCGAGCTCATTAAGCCCGTAATCTGTCCAATGTGAATAAAAATTGGCGCTTCGGCATAGTGTCCCCACTCGTTGCCTAGCAAATGGTTGCTGAGCTGCGCGCCTGCTTCGCTCCGCCACCAGCCACCTGCCTGCCTGGAAACTGCGCTCAACCACCAGATCACGCCAGCCATGACGTTACGGCCATCTCCACATGCACTCTATCGTTGTGTATGACGGTGGGGCGTGACAGAGGCGCACATCGCCAGACGATGTCACGGGGTGACCGAACAAGGTTTACACAGCCGATGAGGAAGCCGCCGACCATTGCGGCACTCTTACACAAGTCAGACTGCCTAACTTGGTTTTACGACGTAGTACGGTCGAAAAGGCGAGAGGTGACTGTGTTGGACTTGACTAGAACTTGGCATCATTTGGCATAAGTTCACACAAATTGGCATCACTTCGTATAGCCAGGACCTGCTAGGGACCGATGAGCTCCACTGTATCTTTAGCCTAGCGCAAATAGTGAAAGCTACGCCTGTTTTAAATGTGAAGCAGCTCTTTGAATATAGCTTGTGTAACGCTGTCCCTCCGTGCGTCCGTACGAACGCGCCACAACGTGCTCCCCTTGCCGCAGATATTGGAGTGGTACCCAATAGATCACGCCACAGCTGCGCATTCACGTGACGCTCCCCTCGCAGTCTGCGCCGACGTCACTCTTCCTCACCTGCCACGCGCTCTCAGCAGCGCCTAAAGCTGCTGCCCCATCCGTTCGCCTGCAACATGTGCCGCTACCGCCGCTCGCTGCACTACCGTGACCACCGCTCACAAATCTTCCAGCGCTCACCACAGCACCTGCGTTAGCATTGTTCAACCCATGACACCACAGGTGCGCAACGCTGCTGCTTGATCCCATCAGGGTTCCCTTTGCGAAGATGGTCTGATTTTTTGTGTTTATTTTTTGTCGTTTTGTGCTTAGGGATCCCAGATTTATGGTCAATAAACATATTTCACCAGTACTCTCGCAGTTTCAGTTTTTCCGATAGGTCCATAGAATAAAAAAAAACTTCCGATGCCGATCCTAATCATTAACTTAAGCGTCTGGTAGTGGCGCTGGCACGTCAGCGTTCGTGTATTGTGGTGCATTCAAAATTTTAACCGTGTACTTCGCGTGCTGCCGAAGCGGCCACGTAGAAAAAACGCGGGCTTTTCTGATCGGTGAGCAGCCCCGACGATCCTCGCAGCAGCGGCGCCAGGATGGAGGCTGGGAACTTATGCGCTGCATTGCCCTTATTGTGCTTGTTTTGGGCGGCGAGCAAAAATTTCAAAAGGGACAGCTGCCCCCTCCGCCTCTCGTTGGCGTTACCCTTAAATCTCACATTCCCCGGAATACTTCAAGTAACTAATCAATTAACTTTTGGTAATTATTTCGACAGTTATGGGCAAGGTTATGCACCGACACTAAAATGATGTTTAGAAAAAAAATGTTCGGCGATTTAGAGTACGCCGTACTCTACAATGTGTTTTGATAAAACTAGAGAACGATTTAGAGTACTTGGTACTCTACTATGGGAGAGCACTAGCCCGTCCCGTGGGACTCTATGGGCTCAACGTTTATGCGACCGCATTGTCGTACATAAAGTCATTAAGGGACAAACGTTGAAGACGGCGGTCACGATTTGTACACTTTTCGCGCAGCTCCCTTACAGCGAAGTGCTTGTGTACACTCTCGTGAATGCACTTGTCTAGAGCCTCTCTTGTGCGTCCATTTCCGTAGCAATGTGTGTTCAATGTAAACAACTACTTTTAACTTTGAACAGAATCATCAATTTTTATTTTGTAGAAGACCAATTAGCAATGAGAATGCTGAAAATACGTGCTTAAAGAGATATGCTTGAAAGAAAAACAAGACGCACTCAGTGCTCCCGCCACTAAAGAAGAAACGTCACGACACGTTTGAGCCATTACCTTTGATTTTTGTCTTCACAATAAAAAAATGAATAAAGCAGATTGTAGTATATACGCATCTACCAATCAATGCTCTTGACCGAACCTAGCAGGAGCATGACGTCCGGGTCACTGCTCGTCACCATGAAAAAGAACGGCCGGTCTACGGAGTGGCGGCAGCCAGCTGCAGCTCTGCCTTTGGATGACGTGGTCTTCATCGCCTGAGCAGCGCCGCTCTTCGTGCAGACGCGAAAAGCGGACGCGTGAATCGCAGCGCTCACTGCGTGAGGGCCGCTGTCCTGTAGCGGCGGCAGTTGGTCCGTGTACCACGTTTCGAAGCTGAGCGAGGAAAGTGTTTCCTTCAGGTCGATTACCTGTGTTTCAAACGAGACCAGCACGGTCACTGTTTAGGTGGAATATAGTTATGAAGCACGCTTAACGCCGACATTAAAAAAAAAATGCCGTTAGGCCTCTTTACGTTGTCTTTGAATACACACTTGCTTTCGTCACATTACATGTAAGTTATTCAGCTCTGGCATTCTCATTATTGATTTCTCTCTATGTATACGTTAATTTATTGTGTGTGGTCTTAGTATTACTCTTTATTTCAGACATGCATACGAAAAATACATGGCTGCGGAGGAAGGAAAAAAAAAAAAGGCCACACAGTCCCGGCTTGACGTTGCTCCCTTCCCCCGGATACATGGGAACTGCGGAATGCACAAAAACAGAAATAGCACAGGCTAATGTGTAGCATAATAAACAAGAACTCAAAGACAGAAAAACTTGGTGCACAATAAGCTTGTATTTAATTCGTCAATATAAACCTGTATAAGCAATCCATTACTGAACCTACTAAGTTGCTTTGTCCGATCTTGATAATAGTTCCAGCCCACAGTCTTTACTTTTGGGCCTACTCCTAATATTGAAACTTATTATTGCCGCGCCCGAAACAAAGAACGAAGACGATGTGCGCGCCAACAGCCTCGTGAAAAGGGGGGCTGAAGAAGACGACGTGCTTTTGTTTTGCTCGCCTGCTCTTGGCTCCTGCATGAAATCACACGCCGTCGAAACTCGGACTCAACGTCACGGTGCACTGCTTACGTTGAACCGCGACACTGGTGGAGGCGCTGGGTAGCAAGCCTGCCGATGCTCAACACCCCATCTGGGAGCCGTTCATCAAGTCTCGACACGCAGCCACCTGTTACGACACCAGTGCACCGTTTCAGTCGGCGGTTGCTAGGCCTATCTCCTGAGCTGATCTCCTTCGACGAACATTCTACAAGGCATTACGTACCTCTACCAATGGCCTCGGCTAGCCAGCCACAGTTGGTCCAAGGGATACAAGGCGGCCCCGTTTCCAATCCAGCCAAGGTAAGCCTTCTTTAGCCGCTTGTGCCTGATCGCTTCAGTGGTGCCCCACATGAAGATGTTGAAAATTGGCTTGAGCATTACGAACGCGTTGCCGACATCAACCAGTGGAATGCTCAACAGAAGCTCGCCCGCACGTATTTCACTCTCGATGACGGCGCTCACACGTGGCTTGAGAATCGAGAAGGCTGTATATCCACATGGGATGAGTTTTGTCAGCAGCTGATTGACACCTTTGCTAGCGTCGACCGTCGAGAGCGGGCTCAGCAGTTGCTCGAGTTAAGACTTCAAAAACCTAACAAAACTGTGGCAATGTTTGCTGAAGACGTGACGCGCCTCTGTCGTCGGGCTGATCCCAACATGTTCGAGGAGAAGAAGTTGCGCTACCTTATGCGCGGCGTGAAAGAACGACTGTTTGCTGGACTTGTGCGCAATGCCCCAACTACCATGGCCGATTTTATAAGAGAAGCCACTGCCATTGAGCGTGCTCTATACCAAAGATCGAGGCAATATGATCGCTCGTCCACTACCACCCCAATCATCGCCGCTTCAGTGACTCTGGACAATCAGGGCTCCCTACTTGACCTAATCAGAGATATTGTCCGCGAAGAAATTCAGAAGCTTTGGACTCCTCCAGTGGATACACCAGTGACCGCCGTTGCCGCAGTCGTTCGTGACGAACTTAGGCACGCTTTTTCAGCAGCTGATCTCGGTCACGATCAGCGTCAACTGAGTTACGCCCACGCTGTCCGCCGACAACCACCCGTCCCGCCTATTACATCATACTACGAGCCACCTACAGCCGCACCTTCGTCGCAACCATTGCAGGAGGCTTTCAGACGTCAGCCGATGTCTCCGATGTCTCCATGCTACCAGCCACCACTTGCCGCGCCTTACTCACCACCACGAGAGGACATAAGACGCCCACAATTTCGCAGAATGGACGCTTGGCGCACCGTCAATCGGCGCCCTCTCTGCTTCAACTGTTGTGGTGCCGGCCATATATAGCTCGCTATTGTTGGTACCGCGACACATCGCTTCGCCCGTCTCGGCCAGGGCATGACGGTCGCCGTGCCAACGACGACTACATTGTTCGCCATGACGACCCTGGTTTTCGAGGACCTTCAACAACGTGGTCTCCCTATCACGAGTCGCTTCCTAATCGCCAGCCCGATTCCGCCCACAGGTCACGCTCTCCATCCCCTGCTCAGACATCGTCACCGAATCGACGTACTTTTGCTGACCTTCGGGGAACAAGGTCGCCCAGCCCTTACCGGGGAAACTAAAGGCGGCGACCTCTCGGGGTAAGGTCGCAGCCCGACTACAAGACGATAAAATGTCCCCAGTACTGCCGTGACAGAACGACTTGACGCCGACGAATATTAACTACGACGAAATGGTGAGCGCCGACCTCAATGTAATTATTGACGGAGAGCAAGTGACGGCCTTAGTCGATACGGGTGCTGATTTTTCCATAATAAGTCGCAAGCTGGCTGATCATCTTAGAAAAGTAAGAACGCCATAGACAGGACCACATATAAGAACAGTGGGTGGTCAATTGCTGCTCCCTACTGAAAGATGCACAGCAAGAATCAGCATAGGAGATTCTTCTTTCGCCGCGACTTTCATTGTTCTCCCAGAGTGCTGCAAAGATTTAATTATAGGAATGGACTTTCTCAGGGAGCATGGCACAATAATCAACATCCCGGACCGCGTGGTTTCATTTTACGAGAGTGCTTGTCTGACTGATCCTACATCACCAGAGCACAAATCCTTTCGCCTCAAAGACCACAATACAGTCGTGCCACCTCGATCATGTATCCTCGTTTCAATAGCATGTGACGTACCGTTCGACGATGAAGGAGTCACCGACCAACTAACCTCGCTGCTTTTCACACTTGGGATTTCCGTAGCACGAGGAATAGTCAATGTCACCGATGGCCGAACGAACTTGCTGTTGACCAATTTCACCTCCGAGCGACGGCACCTTCCAAAAGGCACAACTTTGGCACATTTCGACGAGATCGCAGATGTTTGTGACTGCTTTTCAGCACTCGAAGCAATACCTGCACAAGACCCACGTGACCTAGCACCTAACCTTGACGTCAGCCCTACTTTAACTCAGCAACAGCGGGAACGCCTGCTTGTGCTGCTAGACGAGTTCCACGACTGTTTTGCGTCCACCTCGAAAGTTGGCCGGACGTCCTTGACCAAACACCGAGTCATCACAGAGGACCGGCTAGACCAATCTATCAAAATCCGTACCATGTGGCTTCAAAAGAACGAGAAGCGATAGAACAGCAGGTAACAAAAATGCTTGAAGACGACGCCATTCAACCATCGAAAAGCCCCTGGGCATCACCTGTTGTTCTAGCGAAAAAGAAGGACGGCAGCCTGCGTTTCTGTGTGGACAATCGAAAGCTAAATCAGGTTACAAAAAAGGACGTGTACCCGCTTCCCAGCATAGATGATTCAATTGACGTGCTTCGAAACGCACGTAATTTCTCTTCCATGGACTTAAAGAGCGGATCTTGGCAAATTGAAATAGACCCCAGGGATCGTGGAAAAATCGCTTTCGTGACGCCAGATGAACTGTACGAATTTAAGGTGTTACCATTTGGCTTGTGCTCCGCGCCTGCTACTTTCCAGCATCTCATGGATACCGTTCTCTCTGGCCTTAAATGAAGAACTTGCCTAGCATACCTTGACGACGTCATTGTGTTTTCTACAACGTTTGACGAACACCATGAACGATTGCAAATAGTCTTGCAAACCATACGGGACGCAGGCCTGACGCTCAAGCCGGAGAAATGTCACTTCTGCTTTGAGGAACTGCAGTTTCTTGGCCATGTCGTCAGTTACACAGGAGTTCGTCCAGACCCCGAAAAAGTTGCCGCCGTCGCACAATTTCCAACACCATCAGATAAAAAGGCAGTGAGGCGTTTTCTGGGTCTCTGTGCATATTATCGGCGGTTTATTCGAGATTTTGCGCGCATTGCGTCACCTTTAACTGGTCTCACGAGTGGTGACGTTGCATTTGTTTGGGGCGACGAACAGGAAGACGCTTTCAATGTCTTGCGGCAACGTCTGCAGACGACCCCCGTGCTTGCCCATTTTGATGACAGAGCCCCTACAGTGCTTTATACTGACGCCAGCAATGTTGGCCTTGGAGCTGTGCTTGTGCAGCGCCAGGACGACGAGGAGAGAGTGATCGCTTACGCAAGCAGAACTCTGTCACGCACAGAAGCGAATTACTCGACCACTGAAAAGGAATGCCTCGCCATGGTGTGGGCAGTTATGAAATTTCGCCCATACCTGTACGGCCGCCCATTCAAGGTTATCGGTGACCACTATTCGTTGTGTTGGTTAACAAGTCTGAAAGATCCTCCCGGGCGATTGGCACACTGGAGCCTTAGACTACAGGAGTTTGATATAACGATGGTGTATAAGTCGGTAAAATGACACACGGACGCCGACTGCCTATCTCGATCACCAAGAGTCAGCTGCTCCTATTGATGAAGAGACATCGTTCCTCGGAATCCTCGACACGTCAACCATCGCAGATCACCAGCATGACGATCCTGAGCTACTTGGCTTCATTATTTAGAAGGACGAAGCCAGAATGCACCCAAAGCCTTTACAAGAGGACTATCGTCGTTCTGTCTGCGAAACAGTGTCCTTTACAAAATGAACTTCTCGTCAGACGGGCCCACCTACCTGCTTGTCGTCCCTACCACTCTTCGATCTGAGGTGTTGCAAGCGTGCCACAACGAGGTAACATCTGGGCGTTTAGGCTACACGCGCACACTAAGCAGAGTTCGAGGGAGATATTACTGGCCTAGACTCACCGCTACCGTGAAGCATCATGTTCGGACCTGCCTCGATTGCCAGCGGCGCAAGTCACCTCCAACGAAACGAGCCGGTTCGCTACAGCCTGTCCAGATCCCGACAACGCCATTTGACCAGATCGGAATGGACCTTTTGGGCCCACTTCCCACCTCTAGTGTTGGTAACCGCTGGGTTATAGTGGCGACCGACTACCTTACTTGCTACGCCGAGACAAAACCCGTCCCGAGAGGCACAGCGGAGGAGGTAGCCCGGTTCTTCATAGAGAACTTTATTCTGAGACACGGTGCGCCATCGATCGTTATAACAGATCGCGGAACCGCATTCACGGCCGCGCTTTTAGATCATGTGTTGGTGCTCAGCGGTACTATTCATCGCAAGTCGACAGCTTACCATCCACAAACCAACGGGTTGACCGAGCGACTTAACAAAACTCTGGAAGACATGCTTTCATTGTATGTGGGCTTCGAACACAAAAACTGGGACGACATTCTCCCTTACCTAACGTTCGCATACAATACTGCGAAACAGGAAACCACACGGATGACCCCATTCAGCCTTGTTCACGGACGAGAAGTAAGAACGATGTTAGACGCGATGCTGTCACACGAATGCGATGACAACGAAATGAGTGCTGACACGTTTACTCAACACACAGAGGAAGCCAGGCAGCTCGCACGTCTGCGAATATACCAACAGCAAGAGTACGACGCAGGCCGCTATAACGAACCTGTAATTTACGAAACCGGGGACAGGGTATGGGTGTGGACGCCTGTACGAAGACGGGGACTATCCGAAAAATTGCTCAGAAGGTACTTCGGACCTTATCGAGTGCTGCGACGACTAAGTGACGTTACCTATGAAGTCGTCCCGGATAGCCCAAACTGTTCAAGGTGTCGCTAGCACAGACCTGAGCTTGTGCACGTAGTGCGCATTAAGCCATACGTCAGCGAGTGACTCTGCGAGGCACCGTCGCTTCTACAAATTGACTTCATGCACGAATTACTGTCTCAGCTATAGCATCGGGGCGATGCTCTTTTAAGGGGAGGCAAATGCCGCGCCCGAAACAAAGAACGAAGACGATGTGCGCGCCAACAGCCTCGTAAAAAGGGGGACTGAAGAAGACGACGTGCTTTTGTTTTGCTCGCCTGCTCTTGGCTCCTGCATAAAAACACACGCCGTCGGTTCTCGGACTCAACGTCTCGGTGCACTGCTTACGTTGAACCGCGACAATATGCAATGTATTTTGCGATTCTGTAAGTAAACATGAACCTAAAACTTCTGTGTTTTGGCAGTTATTGCATTCATAGCGCTTCTGGAGGTGCGATGAAGTCGACCTTCCCTTTTATTTTTTTGGCAAGTGCCGTACCACTCACCTGAATTAATATATTTGAGATGTAATTAAGCAGGATAACCAAATTGTCCAAAAACGTTTCCCACCAGGCTAAATTTTGAATGAATCTCAAAGGTTTCCCAGATGCAAAAACTAGCAGGCCATCTATCACATGGATCTGTATAAGGGCTCCTTTGAGGAGCCCCGTTCATAACAACCGTGGGTCTGTTATGAACGATGCACAAGCTTCGGATGTGCTGCGGATACTGTTGGTTCTTGCTGTTGGCGACGTTTGCTCACTAAGCTTCAAACAAAGCAAGGTGAAGTCATTTCCAATAAAATTTGCTTCCTTCTTCCCCATTTGAGGCTTATAGTAGAAAATTTGCGCGACTGTGAGACTCCGTGATAAAGGTGGATAAGTTGAAGCCTCAGCTTATGCATTTTTGTGCAAATATTTGGCGCTACCAAGTAATGGGTTATTTTTTATACAACAGAGTGCTTTCCTTCAAAAAATGCACATCGTCTATATTTACCTAAACATACTATATCGAGTGAGAAGTGCTCTTCCTCCGAGAGAAACACTAAACAAATCGTCTGCTGCCCTCTAGGGAAAAAGAAGCAGTAATTGTGGAGTATAATTCTGCCGAGGAAGAATAATAGATCCTTTACGTAATCCGCATCTGTGCCTACTTTTTTTGTGCGCCCAATTGATGGCAGCACACGTCAGGCTTGAGTAGGTGATAAGGTCCTAGTTGCACGTGCTGGGGCTTGTTTATTATGCGTGTTTATGTCAACACAGCTGAGTCTCCATTTTACATGTCACAGCGGAAGGAAACTGCTCCTGAACACACCATTTGCAGTAAGTGGATAACAATCATTAGCAGAGCAATGTGAGCTGCCAGAAAGTTGGTTTTGCAATTAGAAAATTATGGTTCCTCTCCCTTTCTTCGAATGCAGAAACTTTTTTTCTGCACTTCTTGTTTTGGCTAAAGTGGTAGAAAAGCGACAACCGAGAAGCAGCACTATGTAGGTTTCTGTCCCTCCAATGACACGAATGAACCAGCAATACATAACGATACTTATGTATCACCATTCTGAAGATCTTTAATTCAAGTTTTAGAGGGCGTACGACGTCGTACGAAGCCTTCGTTCTGCGATCATGCGGTTCTTTCACATGTGGCAATCACCAAAAGTACCGAAGATACTAGGCTCTTTACGTTAATGAAGCGCGCTTTGCAACGGTTAGTGACCACAGCAGTTCATACTTGACGATTTAGTTTTTCTTTTTGTGAGGGGAGAGTTTTCAGGCAGCAATGAACAATAGTGAGGCCACAAAATAATATAGAAAGCTGTTGAAAGGCGCTTTTCAAGTTCATCTATAGGCATGTAATCTGGGAATCATCGGGTGCACCAACCCTAACGTCCTGCCATTCGCGTTCGTTAGCGGAACGAACAGGAGTGAAACAGATGTGTGAATGAAGACGTAACTTCACCCCTGGTGTACCTTATTGTTAGGAGGCTCTAAGCAAACCACGTAAGACCATGCACCTATAGCTACGAAAAGAGCAAGAAGAAAGCGGCATGATGCGCGAGAACTCGGCACGCATTCTGAGGAACACTTCTATTGTAGTATACTCACCCCTGCCATCCAAGATGTATTCGTGATCCTCGTGAGTATTAGGTGGAGGTTCGGGGTAGAAGAAGCGCTCTAAAACAAAGCTTGCTCAAGAATGGTTGAAAGCATATTGCGCGGCTTGCCACCTTCTTCCATTTCTCCTGGTTGCCATCAACGGTGTATTCAGACACAATGCCTCCTTAGGCTTACTGGCATGATCACGTTTCTGCCTTTGCTTAGCAGAGCGGCCCTATAACTTCTGCAATATTGTACTTAAATCTGTAAATTGAGTAATCATTTTGTTCACCTGTTTCAATCGAAAGAGCGGTAGAGTGAGCTCTACGTCATCCATTTCGCGAAGACTGCTTAATGCTTCGCTCACATTCATCAGGTTTAGTCGACGTTCGAGTTCCTCTTGGCCATCCATGACCGTGGGAATGAAGAGGACCAGGGCGATTTCGGGAGTTCTGTCCTGCGTCATCGCGCGTTGCTTGCATGCCGTACCTCTTTACCAAGTGCCATCATGAGGAGTTATTTGGCTGTCGTATTGATGTACTCCTCTACACGTTCAACAAAAATGTTTTAGGAACCCACAAGAAAATGTGAGCGAAAATTTTAAGAAACGGGAAGTGCCGCTACTGGCCTGGCAGTTGTAATCTTTGATACCAGCGATGCTGTTAAGATTTCTACCTTTAAAATGTAACCAATGAGTGCTATAGCATTTTTATTATTAGCAGCAGCTTTAAGGCTTAGCTTAGACATTTCTCAGCTACTGATGTAATCGTGTGCGTGCGGAATGCGCAGTATTTTGTGCAGTGTATAAGAGAAAAGTTATTACTTGTGCAAAGATTCCTGGGAGCAACATTTGTGCAGCCAATAATTTCACATTGTGGCGAGTGTTAGGCACAGGGCCACTAAGGCTGATTGTGCTTAAGAGATGTCGTGAAGTAACGAGCAAAGATACCATACATACATACCTTCGTGTGCAAACTGAAGGTGTCTTTCGGCCCCTGGTAGGGGACCTCAACCACCATGGCACCCAGGTTTTTGGTAGCATCAAACACCCTGAACCGTCCCGTCTGCCTGATCGTGTCCACCGTATTTGGGTCACACGGGCTTTCGTAGAAAAAACCCTGCCCCAAGGCCTGAGAATGTGGCGTAAAATAGAGATAGAGGGAAAGTATTACATCAAGGATGATGAATATTCCTAAGAACCGCTTTCTTTTCAAGGTAAAAAAAAGACAAGCTCATCTTTCATGCTTAGGACTATGCAGCGCACAAAAAGCAAGAGTAATAGAAGTGCACAAGACATTGCCGAAATTCCTTGTCCCTTGTTCTTTTTGTGAGCGCTTTACAGCCCTACGCATGAATCCATACCTACTAGCTCAATTTTATATTCTAAGCCAGCTCACTTTGGCGTCTAAGGGGTACTTCCAGGTACCCTCGAAGTCGATCACGCTGAGAAGCAACACCATAGTCGACTCTGTCACCGTGCCCGGGGGCAGGATTTCATCAGGCGCGAAAGACGGCACATAGCATCGAGCATTCTTGTTGGCGTCGGCTCGACTCGACTCAGGCTCACGCTTGAAGTCCCACGGCATACAAGAAGCGCGCGCGGCCGACGACAACGACGCCCTGGCGTCCTCGTCGTCGTACTCATTGCCCACCTTATTGTAGTTGTAGTGCGCGACAACCTGGTAGGCCATTTCGAACGAATGCACGCTGTCGTTTCGACAGCGTACGCCCCCAGGCTTTCGCCTAGCGACGGCATGTGTAACAGTCGTGCAACCTGTGGACGAAAGCCGGAATAGAGAATTTGTAAATACAGCGTCAAACAAACCTTTGGTTTGAGCTAGTTGATCACTTATACTTGTGCTGTCTACTTCGCCAAGCATGACACTGTAGAAAAAAAGTTGGTGTAGTTGGTGCCCGCCCGACCTGCGGTTTTCGTTCTCATATGTTTCGAGTGGAACATGGGAGAGGCCTTTGCCCTGCAGTGGGCGTAGTTAGGCCGATGATGATGGTGATGATGATGGTGATGATGATGATGAGGAGGAGGAGGAGGATGAGGAGGAGGAGGATAATATTTGGCTCGCGTATTTTGGGGGGCCTCGACTACAGATCGGCAGCGTTTTTTTTACCATGCTCAAAAACGTGTTGCAGAGCCCCTATAAGAATAGTTAACCTTTAGCGGACAAAACAGTTCTAAATCACATCATCGGTGACACCTGTTTTGCCGTGGCGGTGTTTGCAGTTGAATCGGACAGCAGTGCCACCAACGAGCTGGCCATGGCGTACGGCGAAAAGATAAGGTTGATTTAAGCCAACTGCCCAGAACGTCGAAGTTCGAGCAGGATCTCCAAGCCCAGACGAAGGATTCCAGCGCTGATGCGGGCCTCGACCTGCGGGTTCGTGCTGCTGGCTGCTTTTTGTGCTGGCAGCAGTCTGCGTGGCTGTCAAGCATTTCAACGAGAACAGCAGCCGAATCTTGAAAGCATTGTGTTCTTTAGTGTTCCTTACAGATGACCATTTAAGAACGCGTTCGTCAGGAGTATTGATTGAAACATTCTTTCACTGACAGTTACATAGCAAGAGTTCTTTTTGTGAATATACGATCTCAAATTTTTCGTGCACTCGATCCGAGGTATTATGAAAGGCTCACAGAGTTTTCGCAACAATATTTCTTGCAATTTAAATTAGTTATCACTCTTGGAACGGTGGTGAAAAAAATAACAATAACGGGGAAACACGAATCAGTTTATATGCAAAAAGTCAGCCGGAGTGCAGAAGAGGGACTACATAAAAGAATGAGAACACGGACGAACACTCGCAACTAGAAGTCTATTGAAGAGGTAACACGTGTATATCTTACACAATAACCATGTTTTGCAGTTTTTCAATTAGAAAAGACAGAATGACTATCCCCGTTACTCAAAAAAAAATTCTGAAAGCGCATGCATTTAAACAAAACACAAAGAAAAACTCTCGCATTCTGTTTCTTAGGCGAGAGAAACTGTAAAACGTGGTTATTGTGTTAAAATAAATACACGTTGTTCCTTAATTAAACTTCCAGTTGTGAGTGTGCGCATGTGTTGTCCTCCTTTTCTCCTGTCCCTGTTCTGGACTGCGTCCCACTTTCTGCATTTAAAACGAATCGTTCTAAACTTGCCCAAATGGCTGTTTTGTTATAAAGGAACAGTGAAGACGGCGCAGACGGCCAAGTCACTCAGCACTCACCCAGCAGTCCATCATTCTGTATATAATTTGCTCTGCCATTCAACATATAATTCGCGTAAACATGCCAGTCGTAGCAACAGCGCTTGGCCATCGCAGATGTTTACAATCCTATTTCAAGCAAACAGTAGAAACTAAACATGGGCATTGAATGATGCGGCACCGAAAGGACCCAATGACATACACATGGGAATGACGCAAACATGGGCGTCATTTTAATGTCTGCGTTATTGCGTCCTTTTGACGCTGCTTCATCAAATATCATGGCTCACCAACTACCCCATCAGTACATATTATCTGATCACGGACAAAGAAACACAATGACAAGAAATTTGAAGCCCCTCCTCTTGACTGCGCTAGTTTATCCACGTTTATTATGCGTCAAAATGTATTTCTTGAAACATGAATCTTCACCGACTGACTCAAAGCAAGACTCTGCTCACCTATATTATTATTATTGCTGAGTCTTTTTTTTTCTAACCTATAATAAACAATTCATCATCAGGACCAGTCTAGCATCCCCATAATAAAAGAACCACTCTAATGGCACTAATCATCATCAGTATTCTGGTTATCCTAATGTATATTTTTCTGAAGCATGCACGATTGCTGTATCGCTAGTGGTGATCAGATGCCTAGAAACGACGGCATAATTCAGCGACACGCAAGAAAGAGATTCATCTGAGGAACTGCTAGTCGGCAGGGAAGCTCGTTGTACGGCCTTCTTAGATGGGGCCTTGTCCAGGATCTCCAGAAAGGCTGAGGCTGCTTCGAAGCCGGGTCGTCGCTGATGGGAGACTGGTGGAGCATTTTGGTTCGCGGTGACGCTGCTGTTCCCTGAACCCAATCAAACCCGAGGGTAATTCGCCCGAGCTTCCTTCAAGCCTGCACGTCGACCTGCGAACGATGCTCGAAGGTTTAAGTTTAAGGTCATGTGCGACATGCTGGCTGACTCATTTTGTTTGCTGATTCCGCAGTATACCGGTAATCGTTAGAGTGGCATTAGATTTCTGCAGTTTATAACCAATAATAAATAATAAATATCGCTGACTTACCTATACATTGAAACGAGTCAATCGATGCCAATGGTGGCTAGTGACGCAGGATGATCCGAACCGGTTAGGCAGTTGCTGCTGCTATAGCCTAGGTGATGATTATCATGATGGCCTAAACGAATGGCGCTTACCCACTCTGGGGGATTGGCAATGTGTTTTACGTATGCTTGAACGTGCCTCTTGACAATGACGATGAATATGATGGCGATGCACCTCTGACTATTATCTTAAGTGTTTGAATGCATCAAATATATCTTTCATAACGATCATAGTGTAGTGCAGTGAAAAAAACCAAACGTTCATAACAGCAGCAGCCACTTTGGCACGCTTGCAAACAGTGAGAGACAAGAACATTCTTACGTGGCAATAATAGCCATTCGCAAGTCACAGTGCAGCTCACACAAGAACGTCAACTTCTTCCACTTTTTCCTAGACGCATTTTAAGATATGTCGCACTTTAAACGTTAGTAAAAACCACGCAACACCACCCCCGGCGGCAAAAGCGCCTACCCGGCGCATCTATAGAGCCACCGTACAAGGAGGGTGGTAGTGCTTGAGTCTTGACACGTGGGACACATCAGAAGTTAACAGTGGCGACGAGGTTGTGAAATTATCCAGGACAATTTCGTACGTAACATCTGTTACCTGTCGAAGCACGCGATGTAGGCTCGCGAAAAGAGAAAGCAGCTTCCCAGAAAGGCCGACACGTTGCGTTGAGGACCAGAGAAAAACGAGGGAACCCGTTAAAGAACGTTCTTCGTGATGTCATTTGTCGTAACGGGGCTCCTTTATTTGTTGAGAAGCCGTCAATATGTTCCGGTCAAGCTGAGCGCGAGCAACGGCATAGACATACAGAGAGGAAAGACTAGATACCTTATTTAAACAAAGCTCCAAGAAAAGCTCCCAACCAATAATAGCTCAGCTAGTCGGTAGAGACTTACGATGAAATAAGTATAAAGCGCGCTAACACGGATTTAAGAAAACAGAAACGCACAACCAAAAACGACTGCGTTTGTGTTTTGTGGTTCTCTTCTCTTGCTCTTGTCCGTGCTTACCCCAGGAAAGCTTGGACAGCTCGCCATGGAGCAGTTCTGCTATAACTACAACTGTAAAACAAATTTTCGAATGCACAACCAATCACTGGCATTCTTTCCAAATAGCGTTATTAGCGCTTTAATAGTAACCTTCCAACAAGACGTGAGAGATGTCTAGATAGCGCAATAAAAAGAACGTCGGACAAAAGCAAATATATATATATATATATATATATATATATATATATATATATATATATATATATATATATATATATATATATATATATATATATATATATCCTGGACAGGGCACTTCATCTTGTATTGTATGCTTCTTGGTCTTATGCGATGGCAGTTTCTTTTTCTTGGCGAATTATACCACTCTCAAATTTTTCTACTTGCGCTACCTAACCCACCCTTCATGTACAATACATTAGGTGGAAGGGAAAGAGAACTTACTTGTTCCTACCATGCCTGGAAATACAAGAAAGGGCACAGTGACTGAAGTTATCTTTAACGCGCATTTGTTGTTTCCTTACAAGGGTACAAGCCCACTGCAGGATATGGGTTTTTTAGAGATGTTGGGTTGCTTCTGTGGACCTCGGAGAAGTCCATCATATACGGTCAATTTATGCAATAGCGCTACTCTGAGCCAATCATAAACGCCACAGCAGCCCTTTGGACCAACCACAATACAAAATCATCATCATCATTATCATCAGCCTGACTATGTCTACTGCAGGACAAAGGCCTCTCCCATGTTCCACCAGTCAACTCGGTCCTGTGCTTGCTGCTGCCATTTTATACCCACAAACTTACGAGATGAAATCACGTAATTCGTCGATGTGTGGCATGATACTACAACGAAGGTCGTTGTTGTCGCTTTCGACCAACGATGCTGTGTCGGCTGTTAGAACTTGAAGACATCAAGGTCTTGACAGGTATTGAAGATCCTGAAAAGTAAATTAAACGTCAAATAAATAACAACGCATCAACAAGCAATTATTTGTAAAGCAAGACAAGGGGCTATTTCGCCATGAACGATAATTGGCATTCCCTGCGAACCTCCAGATTTTGAATGGAATTGTGCAGAGGTGACATTATCAAAGAACGTGTCGCCAGCACCATAAAAGGGTGCACAAAATTATGATAACTTCTATGTCAAAAAAATATTATTTCGGTTTCGAGAGCGTCAAAATATTAAAACGCGTTATCTTGTCATTCTCGAATGGCCGGAAATAGAGCTCTCCCAATTAAGATGAAATGAACACTCAGATTACGTATAGTTACGGTCAGCATTATATACCTAAAAGCCAACTCTACTTACGCACTTTTGACCCTATGAGGACTTAGTGTTGCACAAAACATTGGAGGCACTTCTCACTTCGCCTGCAATTCAGGCGACGATAAAAACAGCGAAATCTTACCACCTAAGTGATGGGCATGCATTAACCCCGTAATCAACACACAAAAAAACTGACATTTTATAGCTGCACGGTGCCTAGGACCAAAAGGAACAGAAGATGGATGCGCACTGCTCTCTACTGCAGCTGCCGGCGAGAGGCTATTTTCTGGCGTATAAAATGCCCGCTGATATATTAGGCCAAAACCTTAAATGCCTCATCAAATGCGATAATTGACCATCGGCGTCTCATGGCGATGAAGACAATAACACGAGTGCTGCGAAAAATCGCCGTCACTTGATTACATCAGCATATGCGTCAACACAACGTCAAAGATCACTAAAATTTATGACGTCGCTATGGCGTGAAGGTGCGTAACGCCATATTATGACGTCATCTAATGACATCACAGCTTGATCAAAGGTGAGCTTACCCCGCCGTGGTGGTCTAGTGGCTAAGGTACTCGGCTGCTGACCCGCAGGTCGCGGTATCGAATCCCGGCTGCGGCGGCTGCATTTCCGATGGAGGCGGGAATGTTGTAGGCCCGTGTGCTCAGATTTGGGTGTGCGTTAAAGAACCCCAGGTGGTCGAAATTCCCAGAGCCCTCCACTACGGCGTCTCTCATAATCATATGGTGGTTTTGGGACGTTAAATCCCACAAACCAATCCAATCAAAAGTGAGCTAACCTCAGAGGCCGCGCAAATCCAGGTGATGCGCCTCCTATTCTGAAGGCGGAATGAAACCTCGTTGGGTGCGGAAAGCGTACGAAAGATGGCGGGGCTGGATCAGTACGTCGACTGAGAATAAAAAGATGGGTTCAGACCTCGAGTCGTCTTATGTGAAAAACTAAAGAAGCCTGTGAGTTTTTTTCACTAATTTATATTTGCCTACAGTGCTATAAAACGTAAAACAAACATCATCTAGCGCTTACAGAACGTTTTTACAAAAAATTTCCCTCCCAGCGCTCCCAGCTTCTCCCCGTCTTTACGCTGCAAATACGTAGGCCAAACGGAGTGGTGCGTAAACATTTGCTTACTAGAGCATGAGGTGACGCTGTCAGGTGTTACGATGACGTCTCATTTGGCACCTCATTCTAGGTCATGCGGATGTGTGCCGCACTTGCAGAAAACAACTATCAAATATAGACATGTTGATCGGCACACGCATGAAATAGCCGAAGCATTTTTCGTTAGATCCATTAACAAGTGCATAAGTCATTCATTTATCACTCCTTAAGATGAAAAATATAAGTACACGTTAGACAAGAATTGAATCATGTTGTGTTGCAACACATGTGCACATGCACATAGTTTTAATGAGTCATTGTTTTCTATATATGTTCTTTTCTTTTCCAAATAAATTTCCGTTGTGAGTTCAGCTGTGTGTCCCTTCCCCTTCCGTATCTAACTTGTTGCGCTGTAAAATATTCACAATGAACATCCACCAACTTGCTCAACTCGCGATTCTACTTTCAGCTTTTTTTTTTTTGCTCTTAGTGCATCATTTCATAACCGCTGCGATCATGGATGGTGACTACAAACGTCGATTCTCTTATCTATCTATCTATCTATCTATCTATCTATCTATCTATCTATCTATCTATCTATCTATCTATCTATCTATCTATCTATCTATCTATCTATCTATCTATATATCTATCTATCTATCTATCTATATATCTATCTATCTATCTATCTATCTATCTATCTATCTATCTATCTATCTATCTATCTATCTATCTATCTGTCTGTCTGTCTGTCTGTCTGTCTGTCTGTCTGTCTGTCTATCTATCTATCTATCTATCTATCTATCTATCTATCTATCTATGTCTGTCTGTCTGTCTGTCTGTCTGTCTGTCTGTCTGTCTGTCTGTCTGTCTGTCTGTCTGTCTGTCTGTCTGTCTATCTATCTATCTATCTATCTATCACATCATGAATACAGGCGACATTCATTCATTCATTCGTTCATTCATTTATTCATTGCACCAATGTTGCATTTATTGCTTACTACTCTCAATAATATACGTCGCTTCCGTTCTGAGTCACACGAGGGGATCGCGTAGCGCACCTCCACTTCGCGTCAAAAGAATTGTACAAGCACGTGGGACCAGACATACATAGATTGCCTCAGGCTAAGTTCATTTATTTCGCATATACAGATGGCATGACGGCACGTGCGAGACCTCCTTCCGGTGTTGCCTGCTACGTTGCCAATGATTTCTGCTTTTGCGTGCCAAATGCACTTCAGTGCGTGGCTGTAATTTGTTATTTATTTGTTGTTTTTATCTTTAATTAATTTACAAAAGGACCGTGATTGAGGCGCGACCTCATTTCACATACGTGTGTTATAAAGCCACTCGGGAAGCTCAGTGCGTCGTTATTTCTACATGTATACGGGCCAGAGAAATTCGCATCGTGTCTCATCTTAAGCGGCGCTCGCTTTTCAGTCAGCAGGTGTTAACGCAGGCATTCATAAGTTAGGAACACGAGGTAACTAAAGAAACTGCTAAGTGCCTTGCTTCGTTTTCTACTGATTCACTGAATATGGCAGGGTGTGACCGCGAGAAAGCTGTCACAATTGTGAGTACCATCTTTGACGAGCTTTTGCTGATTCCAATTATGATCTCCTTATGTCGATACAATTTATGTCTTCTGACAGGAGGCCCTTCTTAAATGTGTGCTCTGCAACTTCCTTCTGTACGCCGATTTAGTAATGTTAACTCCCATATGAAACACGAACACTGAAACTTGAGCGAGGCTGCAGATATTTCTGTTAATATTGCCGTCGTTATAACTTATTATTTCCCATCTCAATGACGCTTATTTTATAGCAGTAAGATATTGCCTAATCTCATTATCGGTTGGAATAATACACTAACTACCTGAGTCAATACCTCAAAGCTGGTATGAGTCATATTTGCAATGAACGATTCTAGAACAATGTTTTCACCAGTTTTGTTGATTTATCAACGGATACATCCTCTCCTACTGGGTTTACTGGCAATGCGTACTCGTGAAATTGAACATCAATGGCCACCTTAAAGCTTGCTTCATAGTGAAAAAAGAAAATGGTGAATGGCATATTTATCAGAAAATTGTTCTTAATTAAGCTAACCTTTCTGAGAAGCTTACGATAAGCAAAATATTACAAGTGTTATGCAAGCGTAACCAGCGAGAAAGAATTAAGACGTCTGTATAAAATGATGCCAGCATATGCAAACAAATCACACGTGTTTAATCGAATGCAAACGTTATTACTCGTATTTAATACAATGTTGGCTGTCCCGCCTTCAATAGTGACAAGCTTCTTTTCATTTCATTTCCGTCCAGTGATTAGGCTGTCTTCCTTTGTTTTTCCCACGCGCAGGTCACAAAGCCTGGCAGTTCTTTCGAAGACACTCATCGTATTCTGGAAGGTCTTTACCTCCACACTGTATTCGCTGCGGAGAATATTCGATCGGCACTGTCTTACGAGCCTCTGGAAGGTGACGTATTCATCGTCAGCTATCCCAAGTGTGGAACAACATGGCTGCAGCACATCGCTATCAACGTATTATTGGGCGGCTCTCTGACGTCGGACGACGTAGAACGAGTGAGGAACTCAACGTACCTCGAATTCATAGGCGCCGAAGGCGCGCGCAGACTGAAGCGACCGGTGCCCATCAAGACCCACCTGCCATTCGACAAGCAGCCCCACTCGGTGAATGCCAAATACATCTACGTCACCCGGAATCCCTATGACTGTTGCGTGTCTTTCTACCATCACTGTAAAGGACTCCCATGGTATCACTTCACCGGTGGTTCTTTCGACGACTTCGTCGATGCGTTCGTGCGAGGAAAGGTCACCTACGGCGACTTTTTTGATCACCTGCTTTCGTGGTATGACCACCGTAACGACCCGAACGTCCTGTTCCTCACGTACGAGGACTTGAAGAAGGACCCCACTACCTCGGTCCTCAGGATTGCCGACTTCCTCGGCGCCCGAGAGTACGGCGAACGTCTGAGAACGCATCCCGACGTCCTGGAGAAAGTTCTTAACGGAATGAGTTTAGAATCCATGAGAAAGTTGACTTTCACTATCGAAGTATCGAACGGCACGTCGCTTGCAGGGTGGCCTGGAGGAACTGAAGACATATCGCCGAGCGACAAGTTGAAAAATGTGGATTCGAATGACTGCTCTTCGAAAGAGCTCACCGCGAAAAGCCTCCTGAGCGGGCAGCTCGTGCGCAAGGGTGTCGTAGGTGATTGGAAGAACCAGTTCTCTTCCGAACAACTTAAGCGGATGAAAGCTTGGATTACTCTCAAAACTCAAGACTCAGACGTTATGACCTTGTGGGAGCACGTCGACCTTCCGTAAGAACGTAACTCTATTGGCAAAATGCCGTGTACTTTATCTGCGCTTAGAACAGAAGTAAAAAATAAGCACATATAGGAGTTCATTCTGTTCATTCTCTCTCTCTTTTCGTATTAGCCATTCTGATGAATATAATAACCCTATAGAGAGTGACCCGTGACAGTGATCTGTGCACCAAAGCACTCGGCTGCTGATCCGAAGATCGCGTTATTGGATTCCGATCGCGGCGGCCAAATTTTCGATGAAGGGGAGAATGTTTGAAACCCGTGCTTTAGGTGCACGAATGTTTTAGGTGCATGCGCGTTAAAGAAGCCCAGGTGGTCGAAATTTCCGGAGCCCTCCACCCAGGCGTTTCTCATAATCAAATGGTGACTTTGGGGCGTTAAAACCCTACGATTCAATAATTAGTCCTAAAGGGAGGTTGTTACCAAAGCCGCCACTTTTCTATGGGTCCAGTATGGAGTCGTGGTTTCTGCAAAACATTAACTTGTTATTTATTTATTTATTTTATTTTATTT